ATGAAGAAAACCTGATACTTAAAAACAGAAATTCCCACCAAAAAATCCAAACCATTAACTTCACACTTGAAAGTTGCAGTGAGATTGAGCACTCCAACTGATCAGAAAGAAATTGTCATGGAGAAATCTGAGAAAGGAGAAGAGGTTTATCCGAAAGGACTGTCTGTAGAGAAAGTAGAAGTTAATTGGAAGGAAATGGAGAAAGCGGAAGCAACTCCAACTGATCAGAAAGAAATTGTCATGGAGAAATATGAGAAAGGAGAAGAAGCTTATCCTAAAGGAGTGTCTGTAAAGAAATTAGAAGTTAATTGGAATGAAATTGAGAACTCCAACTGATCAGAAAGAAATTGTCATGGAGAAATCTGAGAAATGAGAAGAAGTTTATCCTAAAGGAGTGTCTATAGAGAAAGTAGAAGTTAATTGGAATGAAATTGAGAAAGCCGAATCAACTCCAACGGATCAGAAAGAAATTTTCATGGAGAAATCTGAGAAAGGAGAAGAGGTTTATCCGAAAGGAGTGTCTGTAGAGAAAGTAGAAGTTAAATGGAGTGAAATTAAGAAAGTGGAAGCAACTCCAACTGATTAGAAATAAATTGTCATGGAGAAATCTGAGAAAGAAGAAGAGGTTTATCCTAAAGAATTGTCTGTAGAGAAAGTAGAAGTTAATTGGAATGAAATTGAGAAAGCGGAAGCAACTCCAACTGACCAGAAAGAAATTGTCATGGAGAAATCTGAGAAAGGAGAAGAAGTTTGTCCTAGAGGAGTGTCTGTAGAGAAAGTAGAAGTTAATTGGAATGAAATTGAGAAAGCTGAAGCAACTCCAACTGATCTGAAAGAAATTGTCATGGAGAAATCTGAGAAAGGAGAAGAGGTTTATCCGAAAGGACTGTCTGTAGAGTAAGTAGAAGTTAATTGGAAGGAAATTGAGAAAGCGGAAGCAACTCCAACTGATCAGAAAGAAATTGTCATGGAGAAATATGAGAAAGGAGAAGAAGCTTATCCTAAAAGAGTGTCTGTAGAGAAATTAGAAGTTAATTGGAATGAAATTGAGAACTCCAACTGATCAGAAAGAAATTGTCATGGAGAAATCTGAGAAATGAGAAGAAGTTTATCCTAAAGGAGTGTCTATTAAGAAAGTAGAAGTTAATTGGAATGAAATTGAGAAAGCCGAATCAACTCCAACGGATCAGAAAGAAATTTTCATGGAGAAATCTGAGAAAGGAGAAGAGGTTTATCCGAAAGGAGTGCCTGTAGAGAAAGTAGAAGTTAATTGGAATGAAAATGAGAAAGCGAAAGCAACTCCAACTGATCAGAAAGAAATTGTCATGGAGAAATCTGAGAAAGGAGAAGAAGTTTGTCCTAAAGGAGTGTCTGTAGAGAAAGTAGAAGTTAATTGGAATGAAATTGAGAAAGCCGAAGCAACTCCAACTGATCTGAAAGAAATTGTCATGGAGAAATCTGAGAAATGAGAATAGGTTTATCCGAAAGGACTGTCTGTAGAGAAAGTAGAAGTTAATTGGAATGAAATTGAGAAAGCGGAAGCAACTCCAACTGATCAGAAAGAAATTGCCATGGAGAAATCTGAGAAAGGAGAAGAGGTTTATCCGAAAGGAGTGTTTGTAGAGAAAGTAGAAGTTAATTGGAATGAACTTAAGAAATCCAAAGCAACTCCAACTGATCAGAAAGAAATTGTCATTGAAAAATCTGAGAAAGGAGAAGAAGTTTATCCTAAAAGAGTGTCTATAGAGAAAGTAGAAGTTAATTGGAATGAAATTGAGAAAGCCGAAGCAACTCCAACTAATCAGAAAAAAGAAATTGCCATGGAGAAATCTAAGAAATAAGAAGAGGTTTATCCAAAAGGAGTGTTTGTAGAGAAAGTTGAAGTTAATTGGAATGAAATTGAGAAAGCCGAAGCAACTCCAACTGATCAGAACGAAATTGTCCTGGAGAAATCTAAGAAAGGAGAAGAAGTTTATCCTAAAGGAGTGTCTGTAAAGAAAGTAGAAGTTAATTGGAATGAAATTGAGAAAGCCGAAGCAACTTCAACTGATCAGAAATAAATTGTCATGGAGAAATTTGAGAAAGGAGAAGAGGTTTATCTGAAAGGAGTGTCTAGAGAAAGTAGAAGTTAATTGGAATGAAATTGAGAAAGCCGAAGCAAAGCAAATGCTATTGAATTTGTGGAGACTATCTGTACCAAATACAAAAACCATCCATCTTTTACCAAGGATGATATGATTTGTGATCTGAAAACTGAGATATGTGCAGGCATCATTCAACTTGAGAAAATACTGAAAGGTACAATTCATTTGTGTATACAATTCAATTCAATTCAATTCAATTTCTCAAAAAATCATATTAATGATTTAACTAATATGAATTTGTGCAGAATATAACAAATCGGAATCTGAGTGCTCAATGTATGAATATCTTAAGGGGAGGTTGTATAGTGCTATTCCAGCATTTTACATAAAAGAAGCAGAGCCTCATCTAGTAATGCGGTAAGTAAAATCAGAATAAACTATTTAGATTTGGGTAATTACTTTCTCAATGTCAATATTATCTTCCAGACCAATTTGGATCCGGATATGCTGAATGCTTGGAATTACCTTGGAATGTGTGTTGCTTACAACGGAGAGTATAGTAGAGTTAAAGAGTGCTTTGAGAGATGTCTTGGAAAGGTTAAATTTCCCTTTCAAAGATATCCTCCTCTTAACTTCAAACGTTAGCTTCATGATGGTCCTTTTTATTTTATTTAACCGGAACACGTTTATGTTCTATGCCAACTATATGATCTTGAACTTGCGCGTGCCCGAACTCTAATTAGTGCAAGTGGTGTTATTAATTCACTGAATACTCCTAGATTTGTCCGTTATACTCCAACTGTATTTGATTTTTAAAATATGATTCTACCTCCATTTCACAGGTGATCAAAACTTAGCAAATCATATTAAAGCCAACATCATGTCACAGACTTAGAGTTTCGCCAAAGCTCTGTGCGGCACTTGATAACTTACTCACTATTCTTTCAAGATCTTGTAAGCTCAAGTAAACCCTTTGAACTTAAGGTCACTAAGAAATGTAAAGAAAGACTTAGGAAGTTTGGAAGAAGGCTTTGTATTAGCTTGGAAGATTTGCTTACAACTTGTGTGATGCTTTGCAAATGAATGCCCCATCTATTTATACTACAATTTAGGGGCTAAAATGTAATTTAAAATTACTTTACAAGTCCTTAAAGTATTTACACTTTGGTCTCTCTCTAGAATTCTCTACATATTCTAGGATGTTCCAAAGCCTTCTTGAAATATCTAAGGGATTCTAGAGTTCTCTATAAGCCTCTCCACAACTCTAGATTCTTCCGCCCTTATCCAGATGCAAAATTTGACTGGCAAAGCGGCGGGACATGACAGTCTCCCCCACCTGTTGATGCGACGACCGTGGTGCACTGCTGCAAAAACTCCTGGATTCGGTCTTTAAACTGCCACAAGTCTTCACATCTCTCCCATGTGGCCTCCGGAGTCTGTCCCTTCATAAGGAACATGGCGCTGGCTTGTTGACCTCGCTTCTGTTTGGCTTGATAGTCTATAATAGCCTCAATCTCTCGGTCATGCGAGATGGTGATTGTTATGGGTGCTCGTCGTGATTGGTTCCGGCTAGGATCATCCTTGTCCTCATGGTATGGCTTGAGGACACTTACATGAAAAAATGGATGGATTTTGAAGTGTGGAGGTAACTCCACCTTATAAGAGATCTTGCCCACCTTGGCAATGATCCCGAATGGGCCTTCGTACTTCCGCACTAAGTTCTGATGAACACCCTTTAGTTCTTTAAACTGTCTTGGGTTGAACTTCACCAAGACCATGTCCCCAACTTGGTAGTCCGTGGGACGCTTCTTGCGGTCGGCAAACTTTTTCATCTTCTTTACTGCTTTGTCCAAGTAGGATTTGGTAGTGTCAAGTTGCTCCTCCCATCCCTTGGCAAGATGGTAGGATCCCAAATTCTTCCCCTGGAAGGCGACTGGTAAAGAATGTGGAGTTTGAGGTTGTTGGCCAGTTGCCAACTCAAATAGGGAAATTGTAAGAGAATTGCGCCATGTCAAGGAGTCTGGCCCAGTCTTTCTAATGCGCACTCGCATAGTGCCTAAGATAGCACTCCAATAGGGCGTTAACCCGCTCAGTTTGCAGTTGGAAACCCTTGGAGAAGTGAAGCTTCGTGCCAAGTATCTCGAATAGCTCCCTCCAAAAGTTCCCAGTGAAGCGGGGGTCTCGGTCACCGATGATATGCTTCGGCAGCCCCCAATACTTCACCACATTCTTGAAAAATAATCACTACTAGAATTCTGTTGTTTGCCGACTGCAAAATTGGTCGGAATGTAATTGGAAAATGGAGTTTTCCGATGACTTTCCGACTACTTTTGAGTAGTGGAAGACTGTGCGTCGGAAAATACTTGCCAACTACAGCAGTCGGCATTCGCCGACTACCGTAGTCACTATATATAAATTAAAACCTGATCATTAAAGTACCTAAACTGCCGACTACGGTATTCGGAACGATAGTAAAATAATATTTTATTAATTTAAATACTACCGACTATTGTAGTCAGAATACTTATTAAATAATAATTTATTAATTTAATAACGCCAACTATGGTTGTCATAACAGTTATTTAATTAAATAATTAATTATATATATGTTGATCATTGTAGTCGACAGTTATTAATCATTTCAGTATTCTTCCGACTACTATAGTCGGTATAAATAATTAATTTATAACTATTTAGGTGATCTTCCGACTATTGTAGTCGGCATTTGTAATTTTCTAAAAAAATTATATAAGAAAGCTATATTCTTAATATATAGAATTTTTTATTTTTATTTTGGTACACCACCTGCTAAATTATAGTACCATCCATAAAAATTCAACGTAACAATAAAATCAAACATCAAATAAATTCCTCAACATTCAAATTCCACTTGATTCACAGATTCACAATGTAGTCTAAAAGTTCAAGCATCATCAAAATCAAGTCTAATAAGTATTAAGTTGTTAATCAAAACGGAAGTAAATAGTTTAAAACAAGTCTAAATGTCATAGAAAAATTTCTAAACAACCAGAACATAATTTACTCTTCATCAGAGTCGGTCTCTTCTTCGCCATCATCAGATTCAACCATATGTTTCTCCATGAACTTCTGCACTTTAGCATAGTTAGCTTCAGATAATTGAAGTCGTTCTGTTAGCATTCAAATCTATCTTCGCATTGCTTCCATTTCTTCTGAAGTTTGAGAAGTAGAAGCACCAGACAACAACGGTGATAGATGACATGAGGAAGGCTGTGCTCCAAGCCCGTAAACTCTGCCTTTCTTCACACCTCCTGCCACATTTGTCCATATTAAAGTAGTATCATCAGATGTTAGTTGGGTTGTGGAACCATCCTCAGAAGTAGGTTGTGTTTGACGCCATCCGTCCAAGCTTCTTTGAAATCCAACCTGAAATAAACGTTAAATAATCAATAACCCCATTTCTTTAAGACATAATACATAGTTAAGTAAGACAAGATCAATATTGGCAACTTCTCTCTAAGTCCTCTTTCCTCTCTCTACTATGACTAAAGCTGACCCACCGCTTACGACCCTCCACATCAGCAGGTAGTGGTGATTATGCTTGGCGTGTTTTTGAAGAGATAGAGAATAAGAATTCAGTATCTGCTCACTACTTGGTATTTGGTATGCCATTGTTGTCAATGGAGTTGAACCTAATCTAAGTATGGAAAAGGAAGCACCAACAGTAGAACATATTATGTGTTCTTTTCTCATATTCTATAGAGACTCTGCAGAATCAAAGTATTGGAAGAGGAGTATCTTAACTACTGCTTAATTTCCAGCACATCCCATAACTCCCGCATGGACCAGAGAGAACAAAAACATAAACACTTCACAATGATACACATGCACCCAATTTACTGGCACTACCACTGAAAATTTCTTTTCATAGTATGCACATATAGCATATTGCATATCTGTACAATACAACCAAAAATCTCACCCAGAAATTAAAGAATCAAACCTAACCTAGAAGATGGTTCACAGACATACCTATCGAAAGCAGCATAGTTATGCCACCACAGCCAATCAACACAGATTGTCAAGACTCTTGGTGGAAAGCTAATTTACCAGACCACTAAGAAGAGAGTCAGCAACCCTAAATGTCCAGTTACTGGGAAGAGAATATATATGCCACTGCAATTTATATAGTAAGCATTATCATTGCTCTGTTTTGTGCTCTATATGTGAGTAGCGGCATAGTTACGCCACCAAATCCAATCAACACAGATTGTCAAAACTCTTGGTGGAAAGCTAATTTACCAGACCAATAAGAAGAGAGTCAGCAACCCTAAATGTCCAGTTACTGGGAAGAGAATATATATGCCACTGCAATTTATATAGCAAGCATTATCATTGCTCTGTTTTGTGCTCTATATGTGAGTTACTGTATCAATCACATGTTTTAGTTTCCTCATTTTGGCGTTTGACAAACTTTGCCATTGTTTGTCTCATCTATATTTTCTACTTGCCCTAAGCAGCTAATAAGGAATTAGATGATTATGTGGAATTTATACATACTTTATGTGGAACCTGGCTTTCAGATGAGTTCTAGTAAAGACTGCATTCTTACCATCATTCATGTTTCACTTTTTAGTTGAGTAGAGAGCCATTTTCATCACGTCTAAGAAACTGGAAAAAAAAAGGTGCTAGAAATATAGCAAGTCTTTCTATACAAACACCCTTGATACAATTTCCAAAAGATTCAATCCAGGGAGAGTATAAAGTATGCACAAAATAAATGACATCTCCCACTTTTCGAATTCATAGTGTAAAAATATGTCAGCAACTACAAGTATGTACGAAATGCTACAACATATCAGACAATTCACTGGAAAAATAAACAGATGGTTGGTTTCATGGTACTGACCTCATAAATTTTTTCTTTTATAATTGTCCATATTCGTTCATGTTCTATTTTGTCAACGAATAAAATCAAGGAGCCTTCAACACACAAAATAAAGGTTATTCATCAAACAAAACACAAACAGAAATAAATTACAAGAAATATAACCCTTAAAATAGGAAATATTTACAATATTTAATAAATCAACTAGATAACAAACATCACAAAATATCACATGAATTATTACATGTCAATAGTCTAGTAATTTTGAGTTGTCAAGTTCATATTCTATAGTGATGATAAAGTTAACCTTACAATTTTCACAGCTGATATATCATTAATGCCAACGTACAGTTATAGAAACACAATACAAATGGTTCTTACGCAAAATTTACCCCATTTCGCCCCAGTTTGGTTCCTGGAATTCTTCTTTTCACCAACTTACAGTCGTTGAACACAGAGTGCTATACAATTTTTGTACAGGAAACCAAAATTCTCAACAGTCCTGCAATTTTTCTGCAGTCCACATAGCTGCATTCCGAGAAATTTAGTGAGTGCTTGATCCTACCTCAACCTGCACAACATCCACCCTTCTTAACAGCGGTTAACATGTAATTTAGTAGTGACTGGTAAAGAGGAACGGGTGGTTGATTCGAGTAATAGGATGCATTGATGGCAATGGAACGTCCAGCTGCACACCAATTCAACACCCACAAGTGAGCTAATTAAGTTTTAGTAGCTTACAACTAACAGAACTTGTACATGAAAACTAAAAATAGTAGAAAGGAAATCACTAGCCAAGAAAGTGATGTTAATTGCTATTATGGATTTTATGAGTGGCGTAGAAATCACATCACACCAACTAGAGATATGTGGTTCTATATATTCCTTATGTCACTTTATCATGGATTGATCTTAAGATTACTCAGCAGCTAGGTTTACTTGTTTCTTTTGTCCAAGTACAAGCAATTCCGAAGGAGAAAAAACAATGTGAAAGCTGTGAGATGGCAAAAGTGAAGTTGCTTGGTTTTTCCCCTTTTGGTATATCAAGATTGCAATACGTTCTCCAATATGATTTGATTCTCAACTGTTGTCTGGTCATCATCTTCCTCAATTGAAGTTCTAATCGATTCTCAAAGCAGGGACATTCTAAACAATAACTTTAACTATTTTGTTCCTCCTCATCCTCTAATAATGGTTTCTATCCTCCTCCACCTAATCATGAATATTTTACTACTACTGCTGAAGCTCGTACTTTCTCGACTCCCCAGGATATTGATGAAACTCAATTGATTCTCAACCTTACCCTTTGTTTGTAACAGAAATTTACTATTATATGTATTTATCCTTTTCCTGCTAGCTCTTATTAGTTAAGCGGAAACTTTCGGTATTTTTATCTTCTTCTTCTTTAGAATAGCAAGCAACTGAAGGTGTTTCTGATGGTTTTTGTTATCAAACGTCTTATCTCCACTTACAAAGCGTGTGCTTTTTTCAAGTATTCTTAAAATTATTGACGGAGGTTTGGGGATCTATTTTTATTACCATTCTAGAACATGATTTGCTGGTAAAAAGGATTCAAGTAACCACTCTGGAAAGCTGTATAAGAAAACTAAAATGATAGTATACAAGTTCAAATGCCACAATCTTTCCCCTCAAGACCCTGCTCCTGTCTAGGGATTCAAGCATAGATTTCTAGGTAGTAGATGGATAAATGAGGTAGCAAGTATAGTTAAAGATGAAGCGAATGGATATACCACACAACGGTTATAAGCTACTCACAAATATCATTTAAATCACAAACATGAGACACAACGACATCAAGGATTCTTCATCACATAAACGAGGTACAATTTCACCGGCCGGCAACTCCAGACTCAATTCGGAGTCTGTGGCCTTATAACAATATCCACTACACTAATTTCATCACTATTTCAATAGGACCATCTCTTCAAAAGAGATGCACGAAAAATAACACCCAACTGAAGGTGTTACCCCACGATTTGAACACAAGCAGCAAACAATCGATTACGAGCAAGTATCCTATATAGTTTCTTTTTCACTAAAACTAGAAAGGAAAAAGTTTACAGTACCTCAATGGAAATTGTGATGCAGATTGAGGAGGAGGAGAGTCCCAGCTAGGAGATGGAGGCTGTTGAGAGGTGTACCTTAGGCTTGCTTAGTGGTACCTAGCCGTTATGTTGGTTAGATTGTTGTCCTCTTTTTGCTTTTGCCCTTAAGTTATGCTATATATACTTTGGACCCCATAATTGTTAGAAAGGTCCCTATCTAGTCCTTTTATTTTTTCTGCAGAAATAGTACTGTATGTTCCTTATCTCTTAAGGAGGAGGATAGTGAGTCATCTAGGGTTAAGGTACTATATATTGTAATGTTCTTCTTATTAACATTACCAATGAAATATACCCTAGCCGTAATTAGCTAGTTTCAGCTTAACTTCTTCTTTTTATTTTTCATTGTTAGTTACTGTTCCATTGCTAAGTCCCAACTCTTCTATTCTACATCATTTGGTATCAGAGCACTTTCTTGAGCTCTGTGGTATCTAGTTATGGGTTCTGAGATGAATGACATCAAATCCATGTTTGAGAGGATGACAATAGAGATTGCTAACCTTACTGTTAGACAAACTCAATGGGAAAACCAACATGAGAAGGCCTTTGGTGAACTTAAAGAATCTTTGGATGAAGTGAGAAGGTTTGATAGAGGAAAGAGTGTTGAGGGTCAAGATGGCAGTGGGGAGATTTACACTCCCTCTGGGAATCCAATGGCATGGGTACCTCCCCCTGCAGGGAGACCAACTATGCCTCCTTACTCCCCAACAGGATATCCTTTAGGAGTAAACTTCATGCCCCAAAATTCTGCTAACATGGGTCAGAATTCTCATCCCCTTCCAACTGGCCAAACATCGATGGGAATACAAGGAGGAGATGGTGCTACAGGACCATCTATGCAGACCAATCATCACCATGGTGGTCTAACTATGACAAGAATGACAAAGTTGGAGTTCCCTCGTTTTAATGGTACTAACTTGAGAGCTTGGTTGTGCAAGGTGGAGCAGTTCTTTTCCTTGGATGAGATAAATTACAGTCAAAGGGTTAAAGTGGCTTCCATTCATTTTGATGACATTGCCATTGAGTGGCATTTGGCTTACATTAGAAGCAGGAACCACCTTCCCCTTCCTTCTTGGAAGGAATATGTATATGCATTGATGGATAGGTTTGGAGCTGAGTATGCAGACCCCATGTCTGAGTTAAAGCTGGTTAGACAGAATGGCCTTGTAGAGATTATCAAAAAGAATTTGACAGGATCATGATAAGGTTGGTTCTACTTCCAGAATATGCAATCAGTGCCTTTATCACTGGGCTGAAACCAGAGATAGGGTTCAGTGTAAAGAACCATAGGCCTTATTCATTACCCCAGGCATACCAACTGGCAAGAAACACTGAAGCTCAGGTGAACGCCCAACTCAGGTTGGCTAAATCTTCGATGTACAGTGGGGGATCTAGCCAAAACAAGGGAGCATTCCTTAGGGTTAGTAACATGAGAGTCACTAATAGGAAAGAGTATCAGTCCCCAAAGAGGGATCACAGTGTGAGCCTCAATAGAAACAACACCAGGAGACTCACTCCAGCTGAGATGAGTGAAAAAAGACAAAAGGGCCTCTGCTTCTTTTGTGATGAGAAGTTTGTCCCTGGTCACAAATGTAATGCTGCTAAACAACTATACTTGCTAGAGGTATGTGATGAAGAAGAACCAGAAGAGGAGCCTGAACCAGATGTCCAAGAGGTACTTGAAGTGGAAGTTGAAGGTGTGGAGAAGTGTGAGATCTCCATTCATGCCTTGAATGGAATTTCGGGATTCCACATACTTAGGGTGGTGGGGTACAGTGAAAAAAGACCCCTTAATATTCTCATAGATCCCGGTAGCACTCACAACTTCATTGATGAAGAAGTAGCCAGACAGTTAGAGCTTGAGTTGCTAATGGTCAGACCTCAGTCCATCAATGTTGCAGATGGGGGCAACAGACAGACCACTGAGATGTGCAAGGGTCTTCCCTGGATGATGCAAGGGACCACCTTTGTGGATAACTTCTTATTGCTTCCTTTGAGATCTTGTGATATGATCTTAGGGGTGTAGTGGCTGTTACCCTTGGGAGACCTCCAACTGAACTTCCAAAAACTCACCTTGGCATTTATGTACCAAGGTCAGAAGGTGCAGTTGCAGGGAAATAAGGAGAATACCAGGATGGTTAATGCCAAGGGGTTGGATAAAATGACTCAAAATGGTGGACAATTGTTCATGATTAGAGTCTTGCCCACAGAAGACTCAACAGTAGAAACAGAAACAAAAAGAGAAATACACCCTGGAATTATAACATTGACTGAGGAGTTCCATCTGTTATTTGGTGAACCAAAACAACTTCCTCCTTCCAGGTCCACTTTTGATCACATGATTCCATTGCAAAAGGATAGTAACCCAGTGAACAATAGACCTTACAGGTATTCCTCAAGGCAAAATGACATCATTGAACAACTAGTCCAAGAAATGCTTGACCAAGGCATAGTACAACCAAGTTGTAGCCCTTATGCCTTACCTGTGGTGCTAGTGGGAAAGAAGGATGGCTCTTGGAGATTGTGTGTGGATTACAGGGCATTGAACAAGATCACCATCAAAGACAAGTTTCCTATTCCTATCATTGAGGAATTGTTGGATGAGTTGGGGGGTTCAAGGGTTTATACTAAGTTGGACTTAAGGTCAGGCTATCACCAGATAAGAATGGCCCAAGCAGATGTGCAGAAGACTGCCTTCAGGACACACTCAGGTCACTTTGAATACCTAGTGATGCCCTTTGGTCTCACAAATTCTCCATCTAGCTTCCAGGGACTCATGGACCATGTATTCAAGGACCATCTCAGGAAATTCATCTTAGTTTTCTTTGATGACATCCTTGTCTATAGTCAGAACATGGAGGAGCATCTACAACACTTGAGAGTTGTCTTTGACTTGTTGATCAAACACTAGCTCTTAGTCAGGAAAAGCAAATGTTCTTTTGGATCTTCTAAGGTGGAATACCTAGGACACTTC